TTGAGCGTCGCTCCTCCGCCCTCCGTTGTTGTTGGAGGGCGACTGCCTCCAACTGCCCAGTAGCGTCCTTCACAAGCCTCATCCACAGAGGCCGATCTTGACACCCGGGCATCGATCAGCCTCCCACTGTATCTGTACCAGATGGAAATTCCTCTGGGGACAGCTATTGAAGGCTTCACGTGGTCAAAATAGATGTTAAATAATGTGGGAGCTAGAGGACATCCCTGTCGCACCTCAAGGTGTAAGGCAATGGCTCTGACTCCCGGTCACATAGTTTTACCCGGGCCCGCTCACCATCATGAAGGGTCAGGGACTCCGAAGGCACGAAGAACAACCCAGAGCCCAGGCCTACTGATGGTATCATAGGCCTTAACCAGGTCAATAAAGCAGAGATGTAGATCTTGGAATTCCCTACACCTCTGCTGGAGCAGACGGACAGAAAATGGCATCTGTGCAGGACAGCCCGGCACACTGAGGAGTGAGATGCTCCTGTAGTTGTTATAGTCTGTGTGGTCCCCCTTCTTAAAGAGGGGGACCACCAGGGCATCCTTCCAATCCTGCGGAACCCGTCCAACGGTCCAGACTGTTGTTATGATGTCATTTAGGGCAGTCTGTGCACAAACGCCACCCTCCCTCAACATTTCGCTCGGGAGATCATCTCTGCCCGTTGCCTTTCCTGGTCTCAGACTCTGGATCGCCTTCAGTACTTCCTCAACAGATGGCACCTCAGCCAGCCACTCACAGGTGGTGACCTCTTCCTCCAATATTTGAGGCACCGCAGCCTCAGCAGGGTCATCCCCACTTTGTCCCATGATGTTTTCCTGAGTGAGGGATTTCCCCTCCCCCAAGACCTCACAGAAATGCTCAGCAAATCTGCAAACCTGTTCCTGAGGTTCAGATATTGGATCACCGTTCTTTCCCCTAATGATGGCAATAGGTGTGGCGCTGCAGGTTAGTTTTTGATGGAATTAAAGAACGATATGTGATTGCGAGCCACTGAGGCAGACTCCATCTCCTCAGCAACCCGCTACCACCACCCAGACACACATAGACACACACAAACACATACACAAACACACAGACCCACACACACACAGACACACACACAGACACGCAGACACACACAGACACACACACAGACACACACAAACACATACACAAACACACAAACACGGGCGAAGGGCCCAGGAGGGTGCATGTGGGTAATCTCCCCAACCTGGAGACCCCTAAGCTTGCTATCTATGATTGATATTTACCACAGGCAAATACACTCAACGTTTTTTGTTCATTATTCATGCACACGCACGCGTTACAATGCACGCATTACACATGCTCGTGTTACACATGCTCGTGTTACACATGCTCGTGTTACACATATGTAGAGAGTCCAACTGAGTCGCAGACGTTGTCTTGGGAGCAACACTATTTATTTAGCAACTTTCACATAACATCACACAATCTACACTCGGGTAGACACGGTTCGCTATCACCACGAGCTGGGTCCCGGACCGCGTGGTTAGAGGCTTCTTCTCCCCGATGTGGATCTTCTTCACCAGCGACACGAAGAACCTCGAGTTCTTCACGGGGCCCCCGATATATCCCCCTGGGCTGTGGCTGGCTCCGCCCCTTGCCCCGCCCACCTTCTAGATCTCTCGAGCTCTTTCTCGAAGGCTCCCGAGAGCTCTTTTAGGCCACGTGACCACCCAGCGGCCCCCATCCACCGGTGGCCCCCCTCCAATATCATCCGGTCACGTGTCGGCAGGTCACCCAGCGTATCGTGCCCCAACTTCACCCTGGTTGGCTGACGCTCCCTCTCGCTCCCTCACCGGGAGCCCGCACCGCACACTGCACGCGGTGCCTCCGCGCTGACCAGCGCTCACCCAAGCCCCGCTAAGGCTGGTACTACGCCCCGTAAGCAGGCTACACATAATGTCAACACATTATCCGCCATGGCTTCGTAAGCCCGGCACCACACAGTCACAATCACAGTCACTACATCACCCCCCCCCCCCCTCCGTAGCTTCCAGCCGTCCCGGCTGCCAACTCCCCCCCAAGTAAGCAACCGACGTACAATTATACAGAACATAACAAGTGTGCTCCAACAAACAGAACGCAATAAATTACCCAACCCAACTGTACAATATATACACACCGATAAAAGGAAAAAAAACGACCCAACATTTGCATCGCACGAGATCCCCACAATCAACATCTCCCACCCACAACGTGTAACAACGCCCGTGAGCTCGATGGCGAGCAAGGATCAGCCAAATACTCGCCACTCCTCACGAAGAGCAGTAGGCCGGGTCGTCGGGTCCTTGGCATCCAGAGCACGCGAGGCCGACACGAGCGGCCGCGTGCAAGGCATCAGTCGCGCGGCGCCTGGAGGCGGCACAGAAACACTCTCCTAAGGACCCGCGTCGGCAGACGCATGCCCCAGCTTGTCGGGCACACCCGACACTCAGCCCCTTCGATATAGAGATGAAACAAACTCACACGACATGATAAACGGTTAAGCACGAGAGAGGTGCACAAACCAGCTCCGCTTACCAAACCGATTCTGGACACACTGCGGCCGCACGACTCGAACCACATCAACCGGCCCTCTCAATGGTTGCAGCAATTTGGGAGATGTACCCACTGGCACCTGCAGACAATACAACCAGGCCCTGTCCCCTGGCAATCGCAGAGGAAAACACGGGCACCATTGAGCCGCTCGTTGGCCAGCTGCATGGCCCGAGAGTAAAGACTGGCGGCTTCCCGCGCCTCGGAAAGTTTTTCGATCGTGAACCGAATCGAGTCATCCAAGTAGATGAGGCATGAATCCCACTGGAGGCCCGCCAAAACCAATTCCATCAACCTCTGAAAAGTGGCCGGAGCAGAATGGAGCCCATCGGGAGCCGGTTAAACTCGAACAACCCTTACGGTGTTCGAAAAGCCGTCTTGGGCCTTGAGGCCTCGTCAAGCGGAAACTGCCAAAAACCCGACAAAATGTCAAGGGTGGAAAAGAACCACGCGCCCACCAGAGCGTCCAACAAATCGTCCATACGAGGCAAGGGGTATGCATCTGCGACAGAAACTTTGTTACGTTTTCTGAAATCAACACAAAATTGCAGACTGCTATCGTGCTTCTTAACAAGGACGATCGGAGCACCCCATGGACTGGTGGACGGCGAGATGATATCCGTGGCCAACATTTCATCCACCGCCGCACGAACATGTTCCTTTCGGCCAGGCTCAGGCGGTAAGGATTCTTCCAAATGGGGGCGGCATTTCTCGTGTCAACAGGGATGTGCGACCTACATCAAATTTACTTTTACTAAAAATGTCTTAAAACTCCCGCAGGAACGCTCTCAGCTTCTCCATTTGTCCCGCGGATAAATCGCCGCATTCCGAGCACAACTTATGCATCCATGCCTCATCCACATCCTTGGGTCTGTGAGACCGAACGCCGACCCCGATATTCTCCACGACATCCGCCTCCAGACACGCCGGAGACGCGCGAGCGATCACGGAACCCTCCTGAATGACTATAGTGTCCGACCCGACATTGAGGACTTGAATAAACGTTGCCTGGTCCCGGGAGACCAGCATCTGAGCCGCTACGAGTAACATCCCCCGACTAAGCTTATTCGAGGGACCCAACACAACACAATACCGTCCCCCACAGTGCGCGCATCGAGCGTTTTACGAAATCGAAGGGGCACCAACATTTACGCGCTGGGCAGAATCCGCACCGCAAGTGCTTGCACTGTGGCGTTAGCAAAACACATGCGGGTCGGAGACGGGAGAAATGCCATACGCCTTCCCGACGGCAATTCCAAACAGCCCTGGTCGATACAAATCTTCAGGGGCATTTTGCCGAGAAAATCAGTCCCCAGCAAGCACAGGACAACCAGGGCCGTAGAAACCAAAACACGGCCCTAACAATGAGACATCAGCAATGCGCAACGCAACAGAAATCCCACCAATTATCCCCAACGATCCGCCATTGGCAGCGAAACAAGGAGCATCCACCGGCTCCAAAATCTGACACCGGGGGGACAAAATGTTGTAAATTAGTTCGGAAATAATGGTTGAAGACGTGCCGGTGTCAACAAGCATGCGAACTTCAACCCCCTCAACGAATCCAAGCACAACCGACGACCCCGCGGTCGCCGCGACCACGCGATAAGCCAGCTCCGACCACTGATCTGGTCGGAGCGGCCGCAGTGTCGCGAACACGCACCGACTCCCACCGAAACCCGTGCGCGACCCCGATGCAAATCGGACCCCCCCGATAGGTGAAGTGAATCCCGGGGCCGAGTGTGAGGTGCGCCGCGACTCGCCTTAGAGAGCAGAGAGTCGTAGGAGGGCGGACGTCCCGGGGGCCGCCGTCGAGGAACCGGCAGCCTGACTGGACGTGCCCCAGCAGGCCGCAGTTGTAGCAGGTGACACGTCTGCTGCTGGACTGGGACGAAGCAGACCTTGCCCGTCGCCGGTCGTCCCGTCGTCGATCTCCATCACCCCGACAATCGCCGCTCCGCTAATGCAGCGAGCACGCGGAACCAGGCTCCCCGTCCGCGTGGGCCCCGGGCTCCGTGGAAGATGCGAAGCACGCCACCAACACCCTGTCACGTTGCAGGGTCTGCTGCGCCTGTATGCACCTGCCGATATTGAGCGAAGACACCTCCCTGTCCTCGGCGGGAAGCATAGTACGGAGATCCTTGGCATCAAGGCCATCGTGGTCCATTTTCGGGAATGCAGCCTTCGCCAGTGCCAAGAGCGGACTTCTGTAGGCGAGAGCGTACTCACCATTCCCCTTTCCGCCTCACGGCGAACTTCTGACGGGTGTTCAGCGGAGGCTCGAAAACAGTGGCAATCTGGTTCAACACCTGCATGAGGGTGGACCTCTCAAACAGCGGGATGGTGAGAAATGCCGCCAAAGCATCACCATCGAGGGCGGTGGGCAGCGCCTTCAGCACTTCCACCTCCGTCAGCATTTGTAAGAAATCGGCCCTTAAATGCCACCCAATCGCCGCTGGCAGCAACAAATTCTTTAATGAAGGGCAGCCGACGGTGGAGCGACTAGACGTCGATCGACTTGGACGTCCCTGCTTCAAGCTTGGCGGGCTCAGCGCTCCTCTCCAGCAGCAAAATGGCGCCCGCGAGCGTGGGCAGCGGCGATGGCGTTCCCGCCTTTTGTGAAATGGCGGCTGATTCGCCCCATCCGGACAGCTCCTCCGCTCCCTCTTTTGCCGTCGAGGGCAGGGACCGCATCTCGATGAAAGACGCCACTTGGAGGAGGTCAGCGAGATGGCCGTGTGCGTCCCTGACGAGCTCCTCCAGTGAAGGCGAGGCGCCCTGCGCCCCAACTGCGCCCTGCTCCGCCGGCAGCACCTCTGCTCGTACACGATCTCTGTGACGCGTAGACATGACTTGTCTACCGCTAGCTACAGTCTAGCAAGTTGGCCACTTCCGACACCAGTTGTAGTCGTAGACGTTGCCTTGGGAGCAACACTATTTATTTAGCAACTTCCACATAACATCACACAATCTACACTCAGGTATCGAATGCCCATCTAACCATGCTACGGCCGAACTAGACACGGGTCGCTATCATGGCCCGGACCACAAGCTGGGTCCTGGACCGCGTGGCTAATTGCTTCTTTTCCGAGACGTGGATCTTCGTAACACCAGCACACGAAGAACCTCGAGCTTTTCACGGGGCCCCCGTTATATCCCCCTGGGCTGGGGCTGTCTCCACCCTTCACCCCGCCCACCTTCCAGATCTCTCGAGCTCTTTCTCGAAGGCTCCCAAGAGCTCTTTTAGACCACGTGACTGCCCAGCGGCCCCCGTCCACCGGTGGCCCCCCTCCAATATCATCCGGTCACGTGTCAGCAGGTCAACCCGCGTATCGTGCCCCAACGTAACCCTGGCTGGCTGATGCTCCCTCTCGCTCCCTCACCGGGAGCCCGCACCGCACACTGCTCGCAGTCCCTCCGCGCTGACCAGCGCTCACCCAAGCCCCGCTCGGGCTGGTACTACGCACAGTAAGCGGGCTACACATAATGTCAACACATTATCCGCTGTGGCTTCGTAAGCCCGGCACCACACAGTGACAATCACAGTCACTACGCATACACACATGCACGCATTACACACACATACACTACACACGCTCGTGTTACACATGCACACACGCATGCATTACATATGCTTGTGTTTCACATACATACACACGCACACATTACACATGCACGAATGAACACATTACACACGCACGCATTACACACGCTCGTGTTACACATGTGTAGTGACATAGAATTGGCTACGTAGCAGCATAGCGCTGGCTACTGGCGGGGAAGGGGATCTGCAGCTGACAGCAGCCCTGAGGTCAGCAGGCCACGTGATACACCAGAGGGGGATCTAGGGGAAAGGTCAAAGAAGGGGCACACCAAGAACCCGCTGGTAGGTTCTAGAAAGGGGGCGTGGCCGCGGGCGGAGCCTGGCCACGCTGGCAGTATAAGAGGGGCCCGAGAGGGGACCTCGGGGCTGTCGTGTGGAGTGGGGGGATCCCCGTCGTGCTGCTGCTGGAGTCTTCACCATCTCGGCGTCGCCAGCGAGCCAGCCTACCAGCTGCTCTGGTTGGGAACCGTAGTCGACTATAGATGAAGTGTTATCCCGTTGGTGCGTGTTAATAAACAGTGCCTCCAACTCTTAGTGTCTCCGATTCAGTCACTACACATGTACACACGCGCACATTACACATGCACGCACACACGTTAAACATGCACACATGCACATATTACACACGCACCCATTACACACGCACGCATTACACATGAACACACACACACGTGTACGTTACACATGCACACACGCGCGCATTACACATACATGCACACACACGTACACGCACGCACGCACACGTTACACATGCACACACGCGCGTGTGGAAAAGCGGTGGCCTGTGCCGGTCACCTGGAAGCGAGGGGATCCTCTCGGGGTCCCCAACCTGGGCCCCGGCGCAGGCCTCTGCGGAGACAGAGGGGGCTGCCTCTGCAGCAGGAGGAGCAGCAGGAGCAGCAGCAGCAGGAGGAGCAGCAGCAGGGGCAGCAGCAGGGGCAGCAGGCAGGGGCAGCAGCAGGGGCAAGAGGAGCAGCAGCAGCAGCAGGGGCAGCAGCAGGAGGAGGAGCAGCAACAGCAGCAACAGGAGGAGGAGCAGCAGTAGCAGCAGGAGCAGCAGCAGGAGGAGGGGCAGGAGGAGCAACAGCAGTAGGAGCGGCAGCAGCAGCAGGAGTAGCAGTAGCGGCAGGTAGCAGCAGTAGGAGCGGCAGCAACATCAGCAGCAGGAGTAGCAGTAGCGGCAGGAGCAGCAGTAGGAGCGGCAGCAGCAGGGGCAGCGGCAGCAGGAGGAGGAGGAGGAGCAGCGGGAGGTGAGCGCTGCTCCGGGTGGGTGTGGGGGAGCGTCCCGCTGGGAGTGCTCCACGCTCAGGGGAAGCGACTCGACAGTCGTCCACCGAGCGACCCGGCGGGAGCTTCACCCTGTGGGGACAGCGTGGGAGCACAGAGGCGGAGCGTGTGAGCGCGTGTGTGCTGAACTTCTTTCGCACCGTACGTAGCCAACCGTGCTAATCAGAGGTGTGATCGTGTGAGCGTGGGGTAGTGTAGCGGGTAGCGCGCTGCGCTACAAACCCAGCAACCCGAGTTCAATTCCCGCTCACAGGTCAATACCAGTGATCTGAACCGGTCATGGGCTTCCCCTAGGTCGACTCAGCCTCAAATGAGTACCTCGTGCAGTGTGCAAGCATCGCCACTGGAGTGCTAAAGGTGGCGAGGCGTGGTGCTGGCCACCCACCCCCTCGTGTGCAGTGCCAACCTTCATAGCTGCTTGCTAACAGCACTTGCCTCTACAGTCTGTTAAGGCTATATGGGGGATATTTGTCTTTGTGGCATCGGTGATACTCGCTCACAGCACTTGCCCCTACAGTCTGTTAAGGCTATATGGGGGATATTTGTCTTTGTGTGTATGGCTGCGTGGACACGTGTGTGTGTGTGCGCGTGCGTTTTTGTTGTGTTGGCCACCCACCCCCACGTGTGCCATTCCGGCCTTCATAGGTGCTCGCTAACAGCACTTTCCCCCACAGTCTATTAAGGCTATATAGGGGATTTTTGTCTTTGTTGTGAGTGTATAAGTCTGAGCATATGAGTGTGAGTTGGCAGACGAGGCTGCGTTGGCTGGGTCATGTAGCCCGAATGCCCATCCACACCATGTCCAAGCAGCTTCTGCTTGGCCGGATAGAAGGGGCTAAACAGATGTGGCATGAGCTAGAGAAGAGATTAACTAATGCGGTACAGGAGGACGTAGAGCTGAGTTGACTTGCCGAGGACCAGTACCAGCGGTGTCAAGATCAACCTCTGTGGAGGAGGCTCGTGAAGGTTGCTGTTTCTACTGGGCAGTTGGAGGCAGTCGCCCTCCAACAACGGAGGGCAGAGGAGCGATGCTCACAACAACAAGCGGAGCGCTGGGCGGCTAAAACACACAGCAAGTTGGCACTGTGGGGAGCACAGGTGGTGCATCGGCTAGTCATCTCCTGCCAGCGACCTCCTGCCAGCGAGCCTTTACGTGGCCTCAAAGTGCACCTAACCTGGCACAAGTGCTATGGTGACGTCACCGCCGCTTAGTGGCGAATGTGTATGTGTGTGGAGCAGTAGTGGAATGGTTAGCGCTGCGCTGCACTACAAATCCGGCAAACCCGAGTTCCATTCTCGCTCACGGCCAACATCGGCGACGAATATCTGATCCGGTCCTGGGCCTACCCTAGGTCGACTCTGCCTCAAATGAGTAGCTGGTGCGGTGTGTAAACATCGTCACTAGGCCGTGGTGCTGCCCACCCACCCCTATGCGTACCGTGGCCGGCCTTCACAGGTGCTCGCTAACAGCACTGTTAGGGCAACACGGGGAATCCTCCTCGCCTTTGTGTGTGGGGAGCGACAGGGGAACTGTTCAGCGCGAAGCGCTACAAAGCCGGTGACCCGAGTTCGATTCCCACTCGCGATGTTGCAGCAGCAACAGCATCAGCAGCATCACAACCCATGCCCCTCCTGTGAAGACTTGGCGGGACCATCCTGAAAAAGCCCCTAGAGACTTGGTTGTTCTGGTTGTTCTGGTTGTGGTGGTTCTGGTGGTTGTGGTGGTTGTTGTTGTGGTGGTCGTGGTGGTCATGGTGGTCGTGGTGGTCGTCGTCGTTATTGTTGTGTTAACCGTCTGTAACCCCCTTGCTCTGCACGGTTGAGTGAGCGAGCGACGAGGAGGGTGGGGAGGGGGGAGGGGGGAAGAGGTAGCAACGAGGTGGGAGGGGGCGCTCCCTCGGGACACGAGCGGCGACGACGATCGCCACCAAGATTACATTCCTCTGGTGCTTATTTTGGTGTCGTCGCAGATTTAGTTACAAGTGTTTTTATTTCATTATTATCGACGTCGTCGTCATTGAGATTGTCCTCTGCCGGACGAGGGTTGTGCCAAGCGGGCGCAACGGGGGGGGGGGGGGGGGGGGATGCCGCCGTTGATGCTGCTGCCGCAATACCAGATAAAAACGAGAAACTATTTTTTATTTTGCCAGGCGAGGCCCCGCCGCTGAGCTGCGTAGCTCTTTATTTCAGAAGCGACCCGGCCATCGTGAGTGACGGCTCAACGAAGTGGGCTCATCGTCATCACGTGGAATTGTGTCGCGGCCGAATACTCTGAACTCTTGACACTGATTCTAAATGTGGAGGGAGGAACCGGAGGTCGCGTGGAAAAAATCCACGCGACCACGGCGAGAGAGAAAAGCAAACTCCAAATATACAGAAGGCGTCAGGGTCGGGATCGAACCCACGACCTCCTGTATACCAAGCGAGGTAGTTAACATCTCCTAGTCGCCTCGTGTGCGATCCCCATTGCGTGACTTGCAGGTGATGTTTTTTTTTATGGCATCGGAATTACCGGTTACGTCATGGTGTTGTGCGTGGGTGTCAGTTGACCAGCTGTGGAGGGATCTGGAGAAGTCGGAGGAAACCGATGCAGACACCAACAGCAACAAGTGGCGGTGACGTCACCGCGGCGCGTGTGCCACGCGAGGCTACTGCCTGGACCTCATGCCAAGTGTCCAAGGCTTGCTGGCACGGGTTGACTGACTGAGATGACTGCCAGATACACCACCTGCGCTCCCTACTGTGCCAACTTGCCGTGTTGCTGTTGAGCGCCGCTCCTCCGCCCTCCGCTCTTGTTGGAGGGCGACTACATCCAATGGCCACGTAGCGTCCTTCACGAGCCTCCTCCACAGAGGTCGATCTTGACATGGCAAGTCCACGCCCTCCTGTACCACATCACTCCATCTCTTCTCTAGCCCATACCGCGTCCGTTTAGCCCCCTGGATCCAGCCAAACAGAAGCTGCTTAGCCGGTCGGTGCCCGAGCTTGCGGGCTACGTGACCCAGCGAATGTCGAGGTCCGATGCTGCTGCTCGTCACGATGAAAGAGAGAGCCTCAGCAGAGAGAGAGTTCGTGTCGTGTCGCTGCTCTCCCTCCGCTCAAGGATCGCAGACAACAGTGGGTTTACCGTTCGGTCCATAGACTAACATTGCCCATAGGCCTATACTTCCCATAGACTAACATTGCCCATAGACCTATACTTCCCATAGACTAACATTGCCCATACACTAACATTGCCCATACACTAACATTGCCCATACACTAACATTGCCCATACACTAACATTGTCCAAAGACTAACATTGGGCATACACTAACATTGACCACAGTACTATTCTCTTCTTACGTATGGTGGCAGTCTGTTCAGGATCTCGATGCCAATGTCGAGATCTGATGCTGCTGCTGTCACGATGAGAGAGACAAAGAAACAGAGAAAGCCTCAGCAGACAGAGAGAGTTTGTGTCGCTCTTCCTCCTCCTCTGTTGAAGCAGCGCAGACCACTGTGGGTTCACCGTGCAGTCCGTAAAACTAAGATGCATGCTGCCCCTCTGTCCAATCAGAGGGGCAGCATTGCCGCGTGGCCGAGTGCCTCCCTGCGCCACAAGCAGAGCGGGCGGCTTCGCTCGGTGACATGAGCGGTGGCGGCGATGAGATGGGCAACTCGCCCGTCCCCTGATTTAGGATAACCGTCGCGGTTACAAACCCTCGGCCGCCCACTCGCCCGACCCACCACCCGCCCGCCCACCCACTCGCCCAAGCGTGACGCATTCACCGGCAGCTACGACGCCGTTGCCGGTGTTAATCGCACCGCTGATGAGCACGGTTGGCTACGTACGGTGCCAAAGAAGTTCAACGAATTTGCATGCAGGCTCTCGCGGCCAGGCCTATCATAGCATCAGTAGGCCTGGGCTCTGGGTTGTTCTTTGTGCTTTTCGGAGTCCCTGACTCTGCTCACAGTCATTAAGGACCTTCATGATGGTGAGCAGACCCAGGTAAAACTACGTGGCCAGGAGTCAGAGCCTTTCCCTGTTCACCTTGGTCTGCGAAAGGGATGTCCTCTGGCTCCCACATTATTCATCATTATTTTCCGACCATGTAGTTCGAGAAGCTTTCCATGACTGTGTAGTGACTATGAATGTCACCGTGTGGTGCTGGGCTTGCGAAGCCACGGCGGGTAATGCGTTGTCATTACGGCAGCCCGGTTACTGTGCGTAGTACCAGCCCTAGCGGGGCTTGAGTGAGCGCTGGTCAGCGCGGAGGCACCACGTGCAGCGTGCGGTGCGGGCTCCCGGCGAGGGAGCGAGAGGGAGCGTCAGCCAGCCAGGGTTACGTTGGGGCACGATACGCTGGTTGACCTGCCGACAAGTGACCGGATGATATTGGAGGGGGACCACCGGTGGAGGGGGGCCGCTGGGCGGTCACGTGGTATAGAGGAGCTCTCGGAAGCCTTCGGAAAAGAGCTCGAGAGATCTAGAAGGTGGGTGGGGCGAGGGGCGGAGCCAGCCCCAGCCCAGGCCGATATAACGGGGCCCCCCCCTGTGAGGGGCTCGGGTTTCTTCCGGTTGTTGGTGAAGAAGATCCACGTCGGGTTGAAGAAGCCTCGAGCCACGCGGTCCGGGACCCAGCTCGTGGTCCGGGCCGAGATAGCGACCCGTGTCTAGTTCTGCCGTAGCGTGTTAGATGGGCATTCAACACCCGAGTGTGGGTAACGTGATGTTGTGTGTTGAGTTGATGTAATAAAGTGTTGCTCCCAAGACAACGTCTGCGACTCAGTTGGACTCACTACAACTGCACTGGAGGAATCTCATCTGGTAAAGATACAATGTGAGGCTGATCGATGCCCGGGTGCAGTCGAGGGATGGCTCCCAATTGGTCAACCATATCATGTATGCCGAGAATCTGGTGATTGCTGCTTACTCAAGAGAAGTTGGAGGTGCTGCTGCTGAACCTGGAGCATGCCACTAAGAGGTGGGGCTTTACCATCAAACCCTTCAAAACTTTGCATCTGCCTGGGAATTTTATGTCATCAAATACTCCACCCCCTCAGCTCCACATTGCCAGAGCAGTTGTGGAGAAAGTGGAGATGTTTCCATACCTGGGCAGTGTCCTTATGGCCAGCTCTTATTTAGCAGCGGAGGTCTCACTCTGAATCAGCTGAGCGGCATTATCGTTTCATCGCCTGCGTAAGGCTGCCGTGTGGAAGCTACCTGGTCTGTCCCTCCACACGAAGGAAGCTCCGGGTCTTCTTGGCCACAGTCATGCCCTCCCTTCTCTATGTTTGTTCAACGTCGACCCCCCTAATGGAACCTCTTCGCCAGTTAGAAACATTCAGGCTGGTCCAGCCTGGTTAAACCATTCTGGGTTTAACCAGGCTGGATTGTGTGAGGAGCTCACAAATCCTTGAAATATATGGGCACAGTGCTGAGCTCCCCCGGTGAGCTCCTCCGGCAGGCAAGGCTGTGTTGGCTGGGTCAAATAGCCCACATGCCCAGCCCTAACATGCCCAAACAACTCTTGTTCGGCCGGATAGAAGGGGCTTAACGGGCGCGGCACAGGCTAGAGAAAAGATGGAATTACGTGGTACGAGAGGATATAGAGCTGAGTGCAATTGCCAATGACCAATAACAGTGGTGTCAAGATTGGCCTCTGTGGAGGAGGCTCATGAAGAACACTTCTGAGGACAGAGGAGCGATGCTCACAACAACGAGCGGAGCAGCGGGTGGCTAAAACACATCAAGTCGGCACAGGAGCGGGGACAGGTGGTGCATAGGCCAGTCATCTCAGTCAATCAACCCATGGCACCTTGGTATGTCCAGTAACCTCCTGCCAGCGAGCATTCGACACCTCACTGGACCTCAAAGCGCACTTAACCTGGCACAAGCGCCGTGGTGACGTCACCGCCACTTAGTGGCAAATGGCGGCTGTTGTTGTTGTTGTTGCTGTGTGCGACATCCTCTGTGCCGGGCGGTACTGCTCCCTCCTCCCCTGGAGTGTCTTTCCCAGCCCCTGGCGCCACCGTCAGCGTGCTGCAGGTGTAACCGGTTCGCTGCTGTTCGAGCGGCAAAGCGATGGCAACAATCCACCCTGCCCCCGCACAAACAAACCACCACTCACCCCACCGATCCACACCCCTGTCCCCAACAACTACAGGCGAGTGGGAGCCTAGGGTCAGAGTTCAACCCGAACCCCAGCTCTGTGACACCTGCCCTGCCCCTTGCACATATCCCACCACCACTCCTACCCCCCTCAAGCCTTACCCCCAATGCCCTATCCCCCCTTCGCCCTACCCCTAGACCCCTACCACGCAATCACTCATCCACCTACCTACCTAGAAAGACAAAGATCCCCCATATAGCCTTTAACAGACTGTTGGGGCAAGTGCTGCTAGCAAGTATCCATGTAGGCTGGCACAGCACACGAGGCAGTGGGTGGCCAGCACCACGACCGAGTGGAGAAGTTTATACACCGCACCATCTGAGGCTGAGTCAATCTAGGGGAGGCCCAGGGCCGATTCAGATAATCGTCACCGGTGTTCGCCATGAGCGGGAATCTAATTCGGGACGTGGGGTTCGTGGTGCAGCACGCAAACCGTTACGCTACCGCTCCCCTACAAAAACAAACACCTAACTCCCTGCACACCTATCCCCTCCATCCCACCCCACCCCCACGCCTCATGGTGTTGCGTCCGTCCACCGTCACGTGAAGGATCTGGCCGCGCCGGTGCCGGAGTTGCATAGAGGATCCTGACACCGGCGGGAATTTGTCGCGATTCATAATTGATTCGCCGGGTCTTTTCCTCTTTGTTCAGCTGCCGTTGGTGTTGAGCAACAGCAGCTGCTGTCATTCTACAACGAGGCGGTTGATGGTGGAGACGGCTGCGTCGGGAGTGGCGGAGCGGTGCATCATCGCTGTGATGATGATGTCTTCTCTCCCTCCGTGTTTGTGACCGGGACACTGTGCGTTGCGAGAGCGGTGTGGCCGACTGCCAAACGGATTGCAATCGTCGGGTCGTGCAACTCTCACCTGGCGCTGCCGTTGGAGTGCTCCTCTCTCTCCAGGCGTTCCGCGTCTCTGTGGCGACCTTCATCTTCGTGGCGACCCCCGTCTCCATGGGTACCCCCGTCTCCGTGGGTACCCCCGTCTCCGTGGGTACCCCCATCTCCGTGGGTACCCCCGTCTCCGTGGCGACCACCCGGCTGCGGCCCGTTAGAGACTGCGAGAGTCTCGGCAGTGACGGCGGCCTTGACCGGGCCTTCGACTTGCGAGGACTCCATGGTTCCAGCGGCCACACAACCACCGCTTGTGCTGCTGTGTGCGAGGAAGTCAAAGCAACGGCTCATTGGTTAACTTTGCTCACAGCTCACTCTGCCACAACTCGCTCATCTCATTCAAGGCCGTGATCCACAAGGGCAATCCCAGGGCAATCATTGCAGACAATCATCGCCACGCCTGGCCGCTTTTGTCTCCCCAGTGGCGATATTTTTACACACCGCACCAGGTATTTGAGGCTGAGTTGACCTAGGGGAGGCCCAGGAACGGGTTCAGATAATCGTCACTAGTGTTGGCCATGAGCGGGAATCGAACTCGAACAGGTTCGTAGTGCAGTGCGCTAACCCCTATACCACAGCTCCCCCACATCACACACACACACACACACGCAGAAACACACACACACGGACGCACACGCACCCAGAAACACACACGCACGCAGAAACACACACACGCACGCAGAAACACACACACGCACGCAGGAACACACACACGGACGCACACGCACGCAGAAACACACACGCACGCAGAAACACACACACACACGCAGAAACACACACACGCACGCAGAAACACACACACGCACGCAGAAACACACACACGCACGCATAAACACACACGCACGCAGAAACACACAAACACACGCACACGCAGAATGGGTAACAAGAGCTCTCACAGTGGAAGTGCGGATGGGGCAATGGTGGTGCGGGGTGGGGGGAGGGTGTAGGGCCAATTAGGGAGCAAGGCGTATAGCACGACAGTGGAGCGAGGGTGAAGGGGGGGGGCTGTGTTTGTGTTGGGTGCTTCAAAGGGGGTGTGGAATGGGAACAGAGATATTGGGACGGGGGGGGGCACAGGCATGGGGGGTTGTCGTACCGCACGAGAGGAGGTCGCGGTGTCGTTGGCTGCTCCTGATGCTGCCCGTGAGCGTCGCTCATTCGGCAGCGTGGCGGCGCACAATCAACGGCGTCCTGTCCACACAGACACACAGACGCGCAGACGCACAGACACACAGACGCGCAGACGCACAGACGCACAGACACACGAGACAGACACAGACACACGAGACAGAGACACACAGACACACGAGACAAACACAGACACACGAGACAGACACAGACACACAGACGCACGAAACACACAGACACACGAGACAGAGACACACACACAGACACACGAGACAGAGACACACGAGACACACAGACTCACAGACACGCAGACGCGCAGACGCACAAACACACGAGACAGGCACAGATGCACGAAACACACAGACACACGAGACAGACACAGACACACGAGACAGAGAGACACAGACACACAGACGCACGAGACACACAGACGCACGAAACAGAGATTAAAATCCCCCGTGTGGCCTCCATCATGCGGCGAACCGGGGCGACCGCCCGGGGCCCACGGAGGCAAGCGCTGTCGGCGAGCAGCACTGCTAGAGGCCGCGATGGCACACGGGAGGTTGGTGTGGCCACCACCTCTCCCGGCCGCCTTTGTCTCCCCGGTGCCGATGTTTGCAAACTGCACCCAGGTGCCCACTACAATCCGAGTCGACCCAAGGGAGGCCCAGGACCGGTTCGGATAATCGTCACCACTGTCGGCGGCTGTGAGCGGGAATCGAACTCGGGTAGCACGTACACACACACACACACACGGGACTCGGGTCGCACGTACACACACACACGAAACTCAGGTCGCACGTATACAAACACGTACACACACACACACGGGACTCGGGTCGCACGTACACACACACACACGGGACTCGGGTCGCACGTACACATACACACGTACACACACACGTACACACACACACGGATCTCGGGTCGCCGGTGTTGAGCGCGAGTGCGCTATCCGCTGCGCCGCCGCTCCCCATGACGTTGGTCTACACCAGGGATCAGGGACGCCACAATAACAACAGGAAGAGACATTTGTTGGTTGCTTAATGCGGTAAAAACCGAACTCAGTATTTCAAGAGCCGCAATGCAACGTGAACACGAGACGGCGGTCAGTTAATAAATAAATAAATGGCGTCACGAGGCGGCCCTTCGAGAGCCGCACGCACCTCCGTAGCCGCGTGTTGCCGACCCCCTGGTATACACAAAGACAAAGTTCCCCCGTCTAGCCTCAACAGACTGTTGGGGCAAGTGCTGTTAGCGAGTAGCACCCATGGAGGCCAGCATACGAGGGGGTGGGTGACACAAAGACAAAGATTCCCCATATAGCCTTAACAGACTGTTGGGGCAAGTGCTGTGAGCGAGTATCACCGATGCCACAAAGACAAAGATCCCCCGTATAGCCTTAACAGACTGTAGAGGCAAGTGCTGTTAGCAAGCAGCTATGAAGGTTGGCACTGCACACGAGGGGGTGGGTGCCCAGCACCACGCCTCGCCACCTTTATCACTCCAGTGGCGATGCTTGCACACTGCACGAGGTACTCATTTGAGGCTGAGTCGACCTAGGGGAAGCCCATGACCAGTTCAGATAATCGTCACTGGTGTTGGCTGGTGAGTAGGAACCCAACTCGGGTCGCCGGGTTCGTAATGCGGTGTGCTACACACTCCCCATTAACACTATCCCTAAGACGAAGGGTATTGTTAGGGGTAGAGATAGCGATAGAGATAGGGGTAGAGATAGGGGTATTGTTAGGGGTAGAGATAGGGGTAGAGATAGGGGTAGAGATAGGGGTATTGTTAGGGGTAGTGTTAGGGGTAGTGTTAGGGGTAGAGATAGGGGTAGAGATAGGGGTAGAGATAGGGGTATTGTTAGGGGTAGTGTCAGGGGTAGTGTTAGGGGTAGTGTTAGGGGTAGGGATAGAGATAGGGGTAGAGATAGGGGTATTGTTAGGGGTAGTGTCAGGGGTAGTGTTAGGGGTAGAGATAGGGGTATTGTTAGGGGTAGAGATAGGGGTAGAGATAGGGGTATTGTTAGGGGTAGAGATAGGGGTATTGTTAGGGGTATTGATAGAGGTAGAGATAGGGGTATTGTTAGGGGTATTGTTAGGGGTAGAGATAGGGGTTGAGGTGGGGTAGAGTCAGCGCCTCCCCCCGTTCCCCGCTCACCTCGCGCACTGCACGGCGACTGCCACGGGCGCGCAGCCGCAGTCTCGGGGTTTTATAGAGGACGTCCGGCCCCGTGCCTCCCCCCACTCCTCCCCCCACTCCTCCTCCCACTCCTCCCACACCTACCCACACCTCCCCACACCTACCCACCCCACCCCGCTCCACCCCGCTCGGCCCCACGTCTCCCTCTTCTGCCCCATGCCTCTCCGCTCTGCCCCATGTCCCTCTGTTCTGCCCCCACTACCTCCCCCGCTCCTCCCCGTATCTCCCCACATCTCGCCGCTGCTCCCCGCTCCTCTCTGTACGTTCTGTGCTGATGCGTACGGGGGCTCGCGTTTCGCGCGGCAGTGCCAAGTGGGGTGGAGGTTGCGGCAGCACGAACAAAGGGAAAAGATCCCCCGTGTAGCCTGTAACAGACTGTTGTGGCAAGTGCTGTTAAGCGAACACCCGTGAAGACCGGCACGGCACAGGAGGGGGTGGGTGGCCAGCACCACGCCCGGACGCCTTCGTCTCTCCCGCCCCCACCCCCCCCCCCAAGTGCGAATGTTTACACACCGCACCGGGTACTCATTTAAGGCTGAGTCGACCAGATATTCGTCACCGATGTTGGTGGCCGTGAGCGGAAATCGAGCTCGGGTCGCCGGGTTCACAGCGCAGACGCGTCGACCGCTGCAAATACAAAGATTCCCCATATAGCCTTAACAGACTGTAGGGGCAAGTGCTGTTAGCAAGTAGCTATTAAGGTTGGCACTGCACACGAAGGGGTGGGTGGCCAGCACCACGCCTCGCCACCTTTATCACTCCAGTGGCGATGCTTGCACACTGCACAAGGTACTCATTTGAGGCTGAGTCGACCTAGGGGAAGCCCATGACCAGTTCAGATAATCGTCACTGGTGTTGGCTGGTGAGTAGGAATCCAACTCGGGTCGCTGGGTTCGTAATGCGGTGTGCTACCCACTCCCCACTAACACTATCCCTAAGACGAAGGGTATTGTTAGGGGTAGAGATAGGGGTAGAGATAGGGGTAGAGATAGGAGTAGAGATAGGGGTAGAGATAGGGGTAGAGATAGGGGTATTGTTAGGGGTAGTGTTAGGGGTAGAGATAGGGGTAGAGATAGGGGTAGAGATAGGGGTAGAGATAGAGGTATTGTTAGGGGTAGTGTTAGGGGTAGAGATAGGGGTATTGTTAGGGGTAGTGTTAGGGGTAGAGATAGGGGTAGAGATAGGGGTATTGTTAGGGGTATTGTTAGGGGTAGAGATAGGGGTAGAGATAGGGGTAGAGATAGGGGTATTGTTAAGTGTAGCAATGTGGTTAGAGATAGGGGTAGTGTTAGGGGTAGAGATAGGGGTATTGTTAGGTGTAGCAATGTGGTTAGAGATAGGGGTAGTGTTAGGGGTAGAGATAGGGGTATTGTTAGGGGTAGTGTTAGGGGAAGAGATAGGGGTAGAGATAGGGGTATTGTTAGGGGTATTGTTAGGGGTAGAGATAGGGGTATTGTTAGGGGTAGAGATAGGGGTATTGTTAGGGGTAGAGATAGGGGTATTGTTAGGGGTATTGTTAGGGGTAGAGATAGGGGTTGAGGTGGGGTAGAGTCAGCGCCTCCCCCCGTTCCCCGCTCACCTCGCGCACTGCACGGCGACTGCCACGGGCGCGCAGCCGCAGTCTCGGGGTTTTATAGAGGACGTCCGGCCCCGTGCCTCCCCCCACTCCTCCCCCCACTCCTCCTCCCACTCCTCCCCAACCTACCCACACCTCCCCACACCTACCCACCCCACCCCGCTCCACCCCGCTCGGCCCCACGTCTCCCTCTTCTGCCCCATGCCTCTCCGCTCTGCCCCATGTCCCTCTGTTCTGCCCCCACTACCTCCCCCGCTCCTCCCCGTATCTCCCCACATCTCGCCGCTGCTCCCCGCTCCTCTCTGTACGTTCTGTGCTGATGCGTACGGGGGCTCGCGTTTCGCGCGGCAGTGCCAAGTGGGGTGGAGGTTGCGGCAGCACGAACAAAGGGAAAAGATCCCCCGTGTAGCCTGTAACAGACTGTTGTGGCAAGTGCTGTTAAGCGAACACCCGTGAAGACCGGCACGGCACAGGAGGGGGTGGGTGGCCAGCACCACGCCCGGACGCCTTTGTCTCTCCCGCCCCCACCCCCCCCCCCCCAAGTGCGAATGTTTACACACCGCACCGGGTACTCATTTAAGGCTGAGTCGACCAGATATTCGTCACCGATGTTGGTGGCCGTGAGCGGAAATCGAGCTCGGGTCGCCGGGTTCACAGCGCAGACGCGTCGACCACTGCGCCACCGCCCCCCCTGCACGCGCAGACACGGGCCAGTGGCCAACCGCCCCCCGCCGGGGAGTCGTAGCAGGAGGTGGTTGCGGAGTGTCCGGGGTGGGTGGGCGGGGGGGCAATTTAATTACTTATCACGATTACGACGATTCCGCCTGTTCGCCCGGCAGGGGAGCGCCTCGCCGCGTCTCGCCGGCCCTCTCGGCAGCCTCCCTGCCGGGCCGTTCACGACGCGCTCCGCCCAAACTCGCTCAAATTGGGAGCGCGACGCCGCCTCGCGACGGGGCCCACTCTTGCCGACTGGCGCCGGGGGGGTCCCGAGCGCGGGCCGCACGGCGTCGCTCCGTAGCCGGCTTCTTGCTTTGTGCTGCTCTGCACCGCGGATGTCGGCCAGGGCGGCTGCAGCGATCTGAGCCGCCCTGCAACGAGCGTGTCGGGACACCACCCGGGAGGGGGGGGGGGGGGACACTGTCTGGGAGGGGGGGACACCACCTGTGGAGGCAGCGTCGAGGGTTGGTGGACCACCACACGGATGCTGACGTGAAACTCCTCCTGACTTCCTCTCTCTATACGAGAGCGAAGAGCGAACGCAGAGTGGCGGTGGTGGCGCAGCGTTGCAAGTCGACAATCGCCACAAGGACCTTGCTCAAGTCAACAAATGCACCTACTCTGAAGCTTAAGAGCAGTTCGTTGCTGGCCGCTTGGCGTTTTGGAGACATTGAAACTAAAACTTTTTTTATTTCACCAGATGCGGCCACCCTGAGCTCTGTAGCTCTTTTTTCAGCAGCGACCTGCCCACTAATGATCGCTCAAAAAAGTGGCGTATCACCATGTGGAAAATTACAGAAAGCCAAATGCTCTAACAGCACGTCGATTCTAAATGTGGAGGGGAAAAACCGAAGGACCCGGAGAAAAAAAACACGTGCCCACGGGGAGAGAGACACGCAAAAAACTCCAAATATACAGCAGGTGTCAGGGTCGGGATCGAACCCACGACCTCCTGTATACCAGGCGAGGATGTTAACTATTTGGCCAGTGTCCCAGCAACTGTGCTGAACGAGAAACAAGCCAGCAAGCGGGTCACGCGGTGGCGGCGGCGTAGGTGTGACTTACAGCATGTCGCAACGCTCCTGGACCAAAGTGCCAACGGAGAGACGAACTCGCGCCCAGCCAGCCGCCCCGGCTCAACCCCAACACCGCTGCCGCTGCTGCTGCCGCTGCTGCCTAGCGGGCGAGGGTTAGGGCGCCAGCAGCGCCAGCGATGTCGGCGACTGAGTGCGCAGGCAGTGCAACTGCACCCAAGGGGCCGCCGCCGACCGCCGCGCTGAGGACTTGTGTAGAGACCCGTAGGTTTACTCATTGACCCATGTTCACATAGAGACAGATAGACTTGCATAGAAACCAATAGACTTGCATAGAAACCCATAGGTTTCCAAAGAGACCCATACATTTGCATAGGGACTAGCATAGGTTGTATAGACAGAGTCTTGTGGCAAAAAAATTATTTATAATAAACCGAAAAATTTAAGAATCATCTTATCCTTACTTCCCCCAACCGAGACCCAAGGACGCAGAGAAATGGATTAACAGTCAGTGTCGGGCCATACAACATTCAAACCAGATGCCGGCATCGGAGCCCGCCTAGACTTGGAACTCTTTGTCAATGTTAATTGGCTACACTACGGGACACACAATAGACAGCTGTCATTCGCTAACGTGTGTCAAGGTATTCATTAAAACAGCGCCTCCCCGCTCCCTCGACCCCCCACCACCCCCTCACCCCCACCAGACCCCCGGCCTCCCGTCCCCTGCATATCCGAACGTCACTTGTCCGCCCGGACCAATTAACTGCGCACACCCAGTGCAGTCTCTGTGCATGAAGAAGTCACGGGGTCATGTGAAAGCAAGGCATGGGCCGTGTGTGAGATGAGGTAACTGACCGTGTGTGAGATGAATTCACTGGCCGTGTGTGAGATGAAGTCACTGACCGTGTGTGAGATGAAGTCACTGACCGTGTGTGAGATGAAGTCACTGACCGTGTGTGAGATGAAGTCACTGACCGTGTGTGAGATGAAGTCACTGACCGTGTGTGAGATGAGGTCACTGGCCGTGTGAGAGATGAAGTCACTCACCGTGTGTGAGATGAAGTCACTGGCCGTGTGTGAGATGAAGTCACTGGCCGTGTGTGAGATGAAGTCACTCACCGTGTGAGAGATGAAGTCACTCACCGTGTGTGAGATGAAGTCACTGGCCGTGTGTGAGATGAAGTCACCGTGTGTGAGATGAAGTCACTGGCCGTGTGTGAGATGAAGTCACTCACCGTGTGTGAGATGAAGTCACTGGCCGTGTGAGAGATGAAGTCACTGACCATGTGTGAGATGAAGTCACTCATCGTGTGTGAGATGAAGTCACTGGCCGTGTGTGAGATGAAGTCACTGGCCGTGTGAGAGATGAAGTCACTGGCCGTGTGAGAGATGAAGTCACTGACCGTGTGTGAGATGAAGTCACTGACCGTGTGTGAGATGAAGTCACTGACCGTGTGTGAGATGAAGTCACTGGTCGTGTGTGAGATGAAGTCACTGACCGTGTGAGAGATGAAGTCACTGGCCGTGTGTGAGATGAAGTCACTGGCCGTGTGTGAGATGAGGTCACTGGCCGTGTGTGAGACGAAGTCACTGACCGTGTGTGAGATGAGGTCACTGGCCGTGTGTGAGATGAAGTCACTGACCGTGTGCGAGATGAAGTCACTGGCCGTGTGTGAGATGAAGTCACTGGCCGTGTGT